TCTCTCTCTCTCTCTCTCTCTCTCTCTCTCTCTCTCTCTCTCTCTCTCTCTCTCTCGTTTTACGAATCGTTTTTTTCCCTCGGCTCGTTTCTCTCGGTCGGTTGCTCCAGTGACCGTTTCTCCCCTCCCTTCCCCCCCTTAAACTCGTTTTTCTTCGTCGTTTTCTTCGTTTCGAGCGAAGAAAAATCGTGACAGTTGATTTATGCGGGTGCCTCTTGAATTACCAAGTTGAAATTTTCTCCTTGGCCTTGTTTGGTAACTCGAGAATATGGCGTATTTTTGGCCAGCTGGATTTTAACATTTTGGGATGACCGCGTTGAAAAATCTATAAACGTCTCTTGACCTTTCGAAAAAGGGAGGACGCAACGAATTTTCGAATTAATCCCATTTCGAATTGATTTATCAATTGCAGCGTAGTTTTAGTGTTTTAGTTTAACGAGTTTTGTAGGATTAATTCTAGCCAAATGAATACAAAAGTTGATATTGCAGAAGTGTTGATTTAATTTATTGAGTTATAAATAAAGTTCTTTAGACAGTGAGTGACACAGAAAACAATAAAATCTCGATTATTTATAATTTATATAAACAAATTACGACCAACCATTTTGTACCAATATTTATATTTGTTTTAGTCTCTAGAATTCTCAAATGGCTACTCAAATTTTAACTTTGAATTAATGTGTGAAATGTTTAATTATAAGTTGCAACATTTTGTCTCAATCTCAGCTATTTCAATTTTATTCGATTAAAATAGACGCGATTTATGGCCAACGATCTTGAAACAATCTTAAATTTTGACATTGAATTTAAAGAACATCAAATAATATAAAATAATACAATATGCCAGGTGTCTAATTATATTTTCAAGAATTGAACCAAAGATTGATGGTTATTAATATCTTGAAAGATTGTAAATTATTTCGAACGAAATAGATAACAATGTATATATTTATTACATTTTATACATTTACAAATTTTTACATATTTGGATCACTACCAAAATTCGACTTTGTCCTAAGAAATTGTTAAAATGTAAGAGAGATGAAAATAGCCATTGCCTCGAAGGAGAAGCGCATTTTCGTGCAACTTTTAGCACAATCTTGCGAAACAAATTTAAACTGAGCTTTCGTCTCCTCTCACGATACGAAATTTGCGCTTTCAACGACTTTGTTATCCGTTTCTCGTTCGATCGTTCTAATTGTCCGATGCTGATAATGAATCGCGATAAAAATGCTCGAATCGAGTCGATCAGATTGTTACCCTATCATTTCCACTCCTATTTCTTCCATTTTCGTTGAAAAATCATCCATCAAATTGATATAATCTTAAAAAGAATAATCATTGCGATTTTGAAAATGTCGTTTCTTGTCTTTTAAAGTTAAGATGTATTTTTATGCTTAATGTAATAAAAAATATGATTTTTTTTTTCAATATCTTCAAATTGAAAGTTTGTTCTAATGATAAAATGAAGCTTAAAAAAAAATTATAAATTACTTTCTTTTCGATCCAAAAGATATTCTTCAAATCGATCAACTTTAAACTCACACTTATTTCATAACAGTCTTCCATTTTACTTTTCCCGTAATAATTTTAAAAATTATAATTCCTTTTTATCAGTATATTAGAGCATACGTAGTATTCGACATCGCCAAGTAAACGACGATTTTAAATAATCGAAGAACTTAAAAACTTAAATCGATCGATGCTGTCTTCATTACACGTTGCCAAATGTATCGTTGAAACAAATTTTCGACCAAAGATTCTGAAAGATTTCCTTTTCGAGAAGGTGATTCGAAAATCATCCCAAACCGAGTCATCGAAGATCGATTTCCATCGAGGCCAAGAGAGCGAGGAGTTCGAGGAGAGCGTGAGAGAACCGTGGCACGATATTGCAGCTGCAACAACCGGTTTGATAATGACGTGTTGAACGAGTAAACGAGATAGGCTCGAGAATTCTGCGGTTTCGAGTGGTGAGGAGACGAGACGGGACGGAACGGGACGGGACGAGACGAACGTTGGAACGATACCGCGAAGAGAGACAGAGAGAGAGAGAGAAACCGGACAAGAAAGGAGGAAAAAAGAAGAAGAGAAAAAAGAAAAACATAGAACTCGTGGTCTGCGCCGGCGCATATTGAGCGGCACGACCGTTAAACTCGAGCCATCCACGGTTATTCCCGTTCCTGCGCAGGAAGAAGAAACGAGGGTCGCTTGACCGTCTCTATTTATCTTTCGCTCTCTTACACGCTCGTCCTTCTCAACAGGCTCGCGAGGACACATGGATCTTTCTTTTCTTTCTGGCAGCAAAAAAACCAACTGCTCTCTTAAACAACGTGAAATTCTACTCGATTGCCTCCAATTATTTTTAAAATAAAAATACTGGACTTCTGCCTCCTCTTTTCTTACTTCCAGTTCCTTCGTGGGATATTCGCGTAAACATCATCTTTCTTTTTTTTTTTTTTAATTTTCATTACGTATTTGCGTTACGAAATACGAAGCAGCAACTCTCGTTGAAATAATTTTTTTCTTTTCGTTGGAGGATCTCTCTTAAATGGAGTGAAACTCATCCTCGAAGTTTCAAGGTGTTTCAGTTTCGTTTTTTTTTTTCTTTTTTTATTATATTAAAGTTTGAATATATTTGAAATTTCGTTTTATTTCGCGGAGCATTGTAAAGTTAAAAAAACAAAAAAAAAAAAAAGATATTTTCAAGAATCTAATCTCGATACTCTTGGTT